TGTACTTTGACAGCTCTGTATCGTTTTTATATCTTTGAAGTTTGAAGGATTTCTTGTGATTTCCATATCGTTCTTTGAAAGTAGTCGCCGTCATTCCTATATACTCTTTTATGACACCGTCGTCGGGTGATGTAACTTGGGCCTTGTAGCTACATACCTATGTACCTAATCTACCTACCTATCTACTTACCTACCAACATATTAACTACATACCTATACATATTAACCTGCCTCTTTTTTTCAAGGTGGGTGTTTTCAGCAGTTGTGATGCGACAGACACATGGAATTGGACTGCACAAGGATCACTGCAGTACAAAAAGAAAATGTGTCTTAAGCCTGAAACTCGAGGGGTGAATCGTGAATGGCTCGTGCTTGACTCAGTTTGTGATGAGCGACAAAACGTCTTCGAGTTTGTGCCCAGTAAGTATCTCTCAGTGCTTTATATAACTGGACTATCTCACGTGAATTGTCAAAGGGAAAAGTAAAAGGTGATGGCAATCTGTGTGCCATTTACATGCCAAAGGAAAGCGGTTGTGAGTCACATACTTTTAACTAACTTTGTATATTTTGGAAACTGTATCAATTTTAAAGTGTTCTTCCTAGAGGTCCAGTAAGGATCATCTCTTATTGATCCAGTGTTACTACAGGAGGAAACCTAAACTATACTAACTTTATTTATGTTAACTTTTTTTACCTTTTATTCGTCCACTTCTATAAACTGTTCGTTGTTTGAACAAATGTTCAGTGTTACTACCGAGCACACGAGAAAACCTGCACTGTTTGGTAGAGTCAAACCAACGATGGATAGTGCATGTTTTTATGATTCATGATCAAACAGAAGCACTCTTCTCACATTGGAACTAAGAGAAATTAAAATCCAACAACTGCTTATTGCAGGAAGAATTCACGTGCACCAAACACTGTGCTGCTAACACTATACACTTAGCTTCACTTTTCCGTAGGCTCTCTTAAATCTACTCTCTCTAGGTTTTCATGCTTAACCAACATCACGTTTCATCACATGCACCAAACACGTGCCGCTGACACTATACACTCGGCTTCACTTTCCTGCAGGCTCCTTTAAATCTACTCCCTGCAGCTTTTCAGGTTTAACCAACATCACGTTTATCATTTCAGCATCTGGTTGGTATTTATACATCGAAGCCTCGTCACCAAGGCGACCGAACGACAAAGCTCGATTGATCTCACCATCGACAGCAGAAACCAAATCATGTCTCCTCTTTTTTTACCACATGTACGGCCATGACGTGGGTAAACTTCAGGTATTAAATTTATGTACTTATTTATTTATTTCTATTTATTTATTAACTTTCCCAAACAGTCCACGTGCCAATGTCAAGGCATCAGGCGATTAGGGTCAACATACATAAACATAGTATCATACATAAACATCCCTTGTCGGAGTGATACCTTTGGTGGTGAAGATTTTGAAATGAACCAAACTAGGCCTTTCCCGATTGCGCTGGTAAAATCCTAAAAAAGTGCTGGCAAAAATGGCTAAAAAGTGCTCAAAAAGTGCTCAAAATCTCAAAATAGTGCTCAAAAAGTGCTAAAATTGTGAACAGTTACCTCTAAGATTTTCGTAAATTTTTTAAAATCAGCATTTTTTAAAATCTGTTTCCACGTCCTTCTCCATATATGGAAAAAACTTCCGTATATGGAGTTGTTTACGACAAAAAAAAGAGAACTCGAAAAAGTCAGCGTTCTAATTTTTTAACTGTAATGTTATATGCAGCTGTACGGCTTTTCTTTTGGAGTTATACCTAAATTATATATAAAATAATAGTATAATACCCGTCAATTTTTAAACCTTACTCCGAACTGTATGTTTAGTTAATCGAAGTACGAATCGAATTCTATAGTGCTCAAAAAGTGCTCAGCGCAATCGGGAAAGGCCTAAACCAAACTATACCATACTATACTATACCATACCATACCATACCATACCACACCACACCACACCACACCATACCATA